GGTGGAGTAGCCTCTGGGTGGAGCAGGACGGGTCACAGCAGCAGAGGTGGAGTAGTCTCTGGGTGGAGCAGGACAGGTCACAGCAGCAGAGGTGGAGTAGCCTCTGGGTGGAGCAGGACAGGTCACAGCAGCAGAGGTGGAGTAGCCTCTGGGTGGAGCAGGACAGGTCACAGCAGCAGAGGTGGAGTAGCCTCTGGGTGGAGCAGGACGGGTCACAGCAGCAGAGGTGGAGTAGCCTCTGGGTGGAGCAGGACGGGTCACAGCAGCAGAGGTGGAGTAGCCTCTGGGTGGAGCAGGACGGGTCACAGCAGCAGAGGTGGAGTAGCCTCTGGGTGGAGCAGGACGGGTCACAGCAGCAGAGGTGGAGTAGCCTCTGGGTGGAGCAGGACGGGTCACAGCAGCAGAGGTGGAGTAGCCTCTGGGTGGAGCAGGACGGGTCACAGCAGCAGAGGTGGAGTAGCCTCTGGGTGGAGCAGGACGGGTCACAGCAGCAGAGGTGGAGTAGCCTCTGGGTGGAGCAGGACGGGTCACAGCAGCAGAGGTGGAGTAGCCTCTGGGTGGAGCAGGACGGGTCACAGCAGCAGAGGTGGAGTAGTCTCTGGGTGGAGCAGGACAGGTCACAGCAGCAGAGGTGGAGTAGCCTCTGGGTGGAGCAGGACAGGTCACAGCAGCAGAGGTGGAGTAGCCTCTGGGTGGAGCAGGACAGGTCACAGCAGCAGAGGTGGAGTAGCCTCTGGGTGGAGCAGGACAGGTCACAGCAGCAGAGGTGGAGTAGCCTCTGGGTGGAGCAGGACAGGTCACAGCAGCAGAGGTGGAGTAGCCTCTGGGTGGAGCAGGACGGGTCACAGCAGCAGAGGTGGAGTAGCCTCTGGGTGGAGCAGGACGGGTCACAGCAGCAGAGGTGGAGTAGCCTCTGGGTGGAGCAGGACGGGTCACAGCAGCAGAGGTGGAGTAGCCTCTGGGTGGAGCAGGACGGGTCACAGCAGCAGAGGTGGAGTAGCCTCTGGGTGGAGCAGGACGGGTCACAGCAGCAGAGGTGGAGTAGCCTCTGGGTGGAGCAGGACAGGTCAAAAGGTGGAGTACCCGCTTGGTTTGGACCATTTTCTCTGCTCTAGTCCAAAGTAAAATGCTAAATGCTTCATTAGCATTTTTCAAAAAGTTAGCATTCCTCCAGTGGATTTTCACCTGATCCACTTGGTTCAGACCATGAATCCTCTCTGCTCTGGTCTGGACCAGTGTAAAACCATGAATCCTCTCTGCTCTGGTCTGGACCAGTGTAAAACCATGAATCCTCTCTGCTCTGGTCTGCACCAGTGTAAAACCATGAATCCTCTCTGCTCTGGTCTGGACCAGTGTAAAACCATGAATCCTCTCTGCTCTGGTCTGCACCAGTGTAAAACCATGAATCCTCTCTGCTCTGGTCTGGACCAGTGTAAAACCATGAATCCTCTCTGCTCTGGTCTGGACCAGTGTAAAACCATGAATCCTCTCTGCTCTGGTCTGGACCAGTGTAAAACCATGAACCCTCTCTGCTCTGGTCTGGACCAGTGTAAAACCATGAATCCTCTCTGCTCTGGTCTGGACCAGTGTAAAACCATGAATCCTCTCTGCTCTGGTCTGGACCAGTGTAAAACCATGAATCCTCTCTGCTCTGGTCTGGACCAGTGTAAAACCATGAATCCTCTCTGCTCTGGTCTGGACCAGTGTAAAACCATGAATCCTCTCTGCTCTGGTCTGGACCAGTGTAAAACCATGAATCCTCTCTGCTCTGGTCTGGACCAGTGTAAAACCATGAATCCTCTCTGCTCTGGTCTGGACCAGTGTAAAACCATGAACCCTCTCTGCTCTGGTCTGGACCAGTGTAAAACCATGAATCCTCTCTGCTCTGGTCTGGACCAGTGTAAAACCATAAATCCTCTCTGCTCTGGTCTGGACCAGTGTAAAACCATGAACCCTCTCTGCTCTGGTCTGGACCAGTGTGAAACCATGAACCCTGTGCTGCTGTGTGGAGGTGAAGGCTGGATCCACTCACTGCGTAAGAGCTTTAAAATGCGTCTCTTTTCTGCTCTGAGGCGAGTGTTGTTCCTTCAGACCAGAGCTTGCCTCAGTGTGACATGATGGCTGTAAGTGAGTCAGGGAGCTACTATAGGGCTGCAAAAAGTTTTTAGCAAACAAAAACGGACTAAAGATAGCTTAAAAATCCCTTGAATTTGGGAGATTTTATTTGTAATTATAAAGTTGTATGTTAAATATACATATGAATATATATTTCTAAAGTAATTGACGTATCAAGATTGGAGTACAGTACATGTGGAAACAGCACCGGGATAAACTAAAGCAGTGCTGTTGGGTTAACAGGTTAATTCTTCATTAGGGACAATGATAGTTGATTGAATTGGTTCCTGATTGTGGCTTTAGCTTTGATTAAATCCACAAAGGGTTTGTTTGTTCTGTGATTATTTTCATTATTCATCAGAGGTATAAACATATCTCATTCATTGTTCTTATTTTCAGTAGATAAAACAACCTTATTGTGCACATGTTCCTTAAGTGCTCAATTTTATGCCCAAAACATGAAGCATCAGATGCTACTTTGTCTTTGTTGTTTTATCAAAGGCAGTTTAGAATCAGAATCAGAATCATTTTTATTGCCACGTAAGTAACAGGAGGTCACAGACTAGGAAATTTTAAATGAAACAAATTACATTTCAACATTGATGAAATGTCAAATATTAATGTATAACACTAGTGGGAGTCCAACTTATCCAACTGCTACGGCTAAGCTAACACCTTTGCTAACTGCATCTTTAAACCCAGTGGTATCCATTCCATTCCATTTTCTCCCGCTTCATCCGTTGCCGGGTCCTGGTGGTATCGTTATTCGATATTGACAAGTACTGAATCTAATGTACTCATTAAACCTTTAGACCAAGCGGGTGTCGTGCCAGTTCCCTTTCAGAACAAATTATTTTGTTTTCCACTTGTCGAAAACTTAGACCAGAGCCAGGACTGGGAACCAGCTCTGAACTTATACTAAACACAGACATTGTTTTTATTCTTTTATTAAACTTAAGTAATGTCGGTTTTAACTGAAATAAGCTAATGAATGCTAACTGCTGCAAGTAAACGGTGTGTTTCTATGGTAACGGGAACTGGCCCTGCTCTGGTGGAAAACCAACCATTCATGAATGTACGACACATCTTTTGCCTTTGTACTTTTTATAATCTTTGGCTTTCCGTTCCATAATGCTCCGTGGTCTTGTACGTTGGGAGTTCATGGCTGTCAGATGACCCCTTGGTGTTTAATGCTTTCTGTCAGTCACACGCACGCTCGACTTTGACATCTGTACATCAGGAACTGGTGACCGACAACTGACGAGAGACGCACAATGTATTTTCTCTCTAACCCTTTAAAAACTGCTTTGGCTTCTTTCATTATGGGTTAAAAGCACATGTCAACATCTCTGCAGCGGTCGCCATTCAGACGTCTTCTACTAACAAGGACTTTGATGGCTCCTGTAGTCAGATTGTCCCCATATAGTTTAATATAGTTTAATATAGTTTAATACAGCTGAACCTAACTTTGAAACCACTGAAGTAATTACTTAATAAAACTAGTTCTGAGCTCTCTAGTTTTCACATGCATGTATTTTAGCTCTGCCATGACTCAAAGATAAAAAGAGACAGCCCTCACTCAGCCAATCAGCTCTCAGCATTTAATGATCAAATGTTCTCTGTTAAGAAAGGTTTGTTCACTAAATGTTGCTTAAACAAAATGTATTCATGAAACAAAAATCTCAAGCTTTAAATATTTACATTTATATTCCTAGCCGAAAATTCTCTTGTCAGATGTGGTCTTAAACAAAATTTGGGAATAAGCAACCCGGAGAAAAACAATCAGTAAAATGTTCATTAAAATAAGGCTAAAAATCCTAATTCAATAATACTTGATACAGAATGGCTGTTCACTTGTTTCATGATGTATTTTATATTTAGCTTTTTATCAATATTTTACATTTGGAAATATAATTAGTGTTTGTTTAGTTTAGCACGTCATCTGCATGAATGAGTGGTTGGTGGTAAAGGGGCCAATGGCACAGACTGGTTGCCTCGCTTCTGTCAGTGTGCCCCAGGGCAGCTGTGGCTACAGTAGTAGATCACCACATCACTGCTGTGTATGCAGTGAAATGTCTTTTAGTGACCAAAACATTGTTGTATAAACCAATTCATTATATTATTATTATGACATGTAAACTAATGACTCCATGACATACATTCATTAATTCATTCAACATAGACTTGGAGCTCTGCAGTTTTACTTGACTTGAAGTATCTGCCTTGTAAATTAAAATTATCAGAAAAACCCCTCCTGCTTCCCTGTTCTCCTTTTGTTTAGTAACACATTTCTTATAAAATGCAAACTTATAAAAGCATTCTTTGCAAAGGAATTATGATGCCTATATGATATTTATGTTACAATTAGGCCTCATCATATCACATTAAAAAAAAAACATTCTGACAGCTCAGTAACTCCTGGTCTGTGCAACATTGTTTGCAAGTTATAGAATAATTGCAAACATGGGCATATTGTACGTTTATTTCCAGCCCAAATGCACACGTCAAACTACATAAGAACGTATGCCGTCCCTTTCCTCAGGTTTTTTCTCGGTCCTTCTGGCAGCGACAGCATCATTAGACTGCACAGCTCAGGCGAAAAGGATCTCATGACGGACCATAGTGTTGGACTGAAAGCTTCCACAGAGCCTAGGGATACATGCTATTTCTCTGTGGGACAGCCCTGGTCCTTAACCTCTTCGATGGGCCTTGTATAGCTGGACATTTACAAGTAAAATCATTAGTGCAAGGAGCGACAGTGCTTCGTGCATTTGCCTGGATACACTGGGAGCTATTTTTGCCGATGTAATTTGCTCTGTGTTGAGCCGCGGTTCACAGCTCGGTCAGCCTTCCCTGATACTATATTCCCGTTTGTTTCTGTAAAGGTTTTTCCGTCACATCGCATTTGGGTCGAGATGTCGGTGAACTGTGAATGCACCGCGCACAGGGACTCCGGCTGGCAGCGAGGAGCATCCAGGGTCCTAGTGTCTGCAAACCCACAGCAGAAACATGCCCTGTGCACAAACAGGAAGCAACAGAATCATTAATCTCCTTCTAATTTTGCATTTTAATATTCATTTTATAGTTTATGATTTTGATAATACTTCTTTTGATTTTTTTAAATTGGTAAAATACATGTAAGCTCTGCCAATAATAATGAATGTCCAAATAAAAATACATTATATTTTTACCATTATGCCATATCAATATATAATATATATCAATATTGTGAAATGTTGTTTTGATTTTTTAGAGTTATTAAATAATTTCAAATGCCCTTAAAATAGTAGTGATGCCTATACCTAAAATAAAAATAATAATAAATAATAATGAAATAATAATTAATAATAAAAATAATAATGCCTACCTAAAATAAGAATATTATATTTTATAATATTTTTATATGTATATACACAAATATATATATATATATATACAAATAACAAAAAATAGGGAAAAAAGGCAGGGGCTTAAAAATCTGATATATATTGTATATATCCTAAACATAGAAAAGAAATAAGATTGAAAATAAAAATATTACTGGTTTTTACATACATATTTACTAATAATTACAGGTAAATATTATAAGCACAATAACATTAAAATAAGTTATTCTAAAACATAGTATTCATACCTACCTTTGTAGTATCAGCAGTATCAGCAGTAGCAGCAGTAGCAGTAGTAGTAGTAGTAGTAGTAGTAGTAGTAGTAGTAGTAGTAGTAGTAGTAGTAGTAGTAGTAGCAGTAGCAGTAGCAGTAGCAGCAGTAGCAGTAGCAGTAATGATAGTTGTACCTTGTAGGGAGGTGCAGTCATGTCCAGCCTCTGTCTCTGGTCCTGCCCCTTCAGAGCAGAGTCGACTTATCTCTGATTTCATAAATTATTCATTTCACAGCGACCCACAAATGAGAGCCTAATTTGTGCTCTTTCTAAAAAAAAAACACCACAAATTATAATCATTATTATTATCACTGTTACTTCAGTCTCCTGTTCATGGAATTGAATGAACGTGACGGTGATGAGAATATTCTGCTAATAGCCCCAGCAGTAACCCTCTTCTGAAACTATGAACACATTTAGTGACATTAATTTAGAATTTGACTACAGTTTGTGAGACTCAAAACAGATAATTGAATAATTAATTTGTGTAATTGCCCAATTTATTTTTCTGCAGAAATATGCTAATGTCGTTTCACATCTGACTGTTGCAGAAGAAGTGACAACAAATATTTACAACATAGATGTTTGGTTGTGACACAATCATGGCAACAATATTTTATAGTTCATTTGCATTTATCTCTTCAATTGCCTTCTAGTTAGTTTTTTTACAGTGTATATTCCTCATTAAGTCTCATTGACACTGATATTAATATTGTTTTCTGTATAAAAATGTGTAATCAATAGTTTTGCTTTTTAGCTAAAACTGTAAAAAAAAAAAAAAACTTAAAACTATTGGACTGTGTGTGTGTGTGTGTGTGTGTGTGTCTGTCTGTGTGTGTGTGTGTGTCTGTGTGCACTTGTTTTCAACTCCTGGTGGGTTCCATAACCTGAGATTCCACTCACGTCATGGGGACTGGTTTTACGTGGTGGGGCCCGAACACCGGACCCCACTGGTCCAAGCTTAATAATCAATGGGTAATGCTTTTCTAACGGTCCTTATGCAGTCTCTGTAAAAATATGGAAAGGACCCCTGGAGGTTTACTTTCCTGAAAAAAGTGTGTTATGTGTCGGAACCCTGGTGGTGGGTTGCGGGATATCAAGGAGGGGCACACTGGGGCAATTTCAGTCCAGCAGGCTGGAGCCAATCATGGAGCAGCACAACAGAGGAAATCAGGTGTCAGGCTAGAAAAAGGTGCAAGTGTGTGGTTCATTAGGCTGCAGCCAATCACAGAGCAGCACACTGAAGCGCACGCTTACAAACCACTGGTAAGTGCTGACTACAAGTCATGACTTCAAATTGTTATATAGAATGATTACAAATTATTTGTTGTTTGTGCAGCTTAGTCAAGAGTCCCTAATTGATGAAGTCGACTCAGATTCTGACGATTTAACTGTCAAGAAGAAACCTGTAAAAAAGTATGGAAAAAGAAAAATCAAAAACACTTTTCTTCAAGACTCGGAAAGTGACGAACCAAAGGCAAATAAGATTGTTATCATGCAGCTGCAAAAGAAGAAAAATGGGGGGCGAGTATACAGCAAGAGACACTTCTGCCTCTACTGTTCAATGTCCTGCCACAAAATGTCCCGTCATTTGACTAGAAAACATGGAAATGAAAGTGACGTAGCCAGAGCATTGGCTCTACCTGTGAAATCTAAAGCACGATTAAACTTCAGTTTGATCATTGATCAGGCCAAGTGGAAACCGTGAGCACAATTTTGAGACTTGGAGAAAGGCCGGCATTGGAACTTTAGTCCCAGCTAAACAGCCAAATTCCCCAGTTAAATCCAGTGAGTTTTTGCACTGTATAGACTGCAGGGCATTGCTTAAGCTAAAGTCGCTGTGGAGGCATGTACGGCCAGGTGCCGGTCCTTTCACAGAAAGATGCCCAGGCTAAACCAGCCCGTGGCCCAGAGGATAGACTTTAAAGCAGCTCTCCTGGTGTACAAGTCTCTCCATGGCCTTGCACCAAAGTACATCCATGATATGCTAGTCCCATATGAACCAGCCCGGACTCTGAGGAGCGCAGGGACGGGACTCCTGTTAGTGCCCAGAGTCAGGACTAGACAGGGGGAGGCTGCTTTTCAGATTTATGCAGCTAAAGTCTGGAACAGTCTTCCTGAGGATGTGAGACTGGCTGCCTCTCTGTCAATGTTCAAATCCATGTTAAAGACTTTTCTTTTTTCCCGTGCATACAACTAGAGAATTTTATCGTTTTAACACACCTTGTTATTTATTGTTGTAACTTTTTGTGTTTTTAACTATTTTATTGTTTTTAATTACTTGTGTGATTCTTATGTTTTTAAATTACTTATGTGATTTTAATGCTTTTTAATTACATATGTGTTTTTAATTGTATTTTAATGGTGATGATTTGTGCATTGTGTGGTGTGGACTGTGAGGCGCTTTGTGTTGCCCTGTGCAGGAAAAGCGCCCTATAAATAAAGATTGATTGATTGATTGATACTTCTCAGTCAAGTACAGGGAGTACTTCTCTCAGTTTTAGTGCATTTTGTTTTATCTGCTCATGGAAATGGCTTGTCCAGTTTGATCCAAGTTAGTTTGAAGCACATTTCAAGTGAGATATTCCTTAAAGAGTTTAACAAATTCAATATAAATTCAGATTATTTTCCAAGTTTGAGTTTTTTCTCAAATTTGAATTCTCCTCTTGCACTTTATAATAGCCTCGCTTCAAAACAGAAATGTCATTGCTGTCTGAATAAGTTATGGAAAAGTCATCAAACTACAGTGAAAGTATTGGCCTTGTGTTTCTCTGACACTTAAAGGGAGACTACTCTTTCACAAACGTTCTCTTCCAGACGTCCACGAACGCGATCAGGAGTAGGGTTAGTGTGGGTAGTTTCTTCTGTAACTGTTTTAAATTAAAGGTTTCTAATTGATGCTGAATAAATAGTCATTAACATTGGTTCCATAGAGTATGTTTTATTTTAGAGGCAGAAGCATTAATGTCGTTTATAAAAGTGCTTTGATTCAGATTTGGTCCAGGCAAGTGTTTTTCAGCACAGACGCCACTAGAGGTCAGTAAATGATCAAGAACAGCTTTCACCTCAGCTCCTGCATATTTGGGATGAACTGACAAAACAGGAATAAATAATAATAGTTCAATAATCAATAATATAATCGGCACGGTGGCTGAGTGGATAGCACTCTCGCCTCTCAGCAAGAAGGTCCTGGGTTCTGATTGATACTTCTCAGTCAAGTACAGGGAGTACTTCTCTCAGTTTTAGTGCATTTTGTTTTATCTGCTCATGGAAATGGCTTGTCCAGTTTGATCCAAGTTAGTTTGAAGCACATTTCAAGTGAGATATTCCTTAAAGAGTTTAACAAATTCAATATAAATTCAGATTATTTTCCAAGTTTGAGTTTTTTCTCAAATTTGAATTCTCCTCTTGCACTTTATAATAGCCTCGCTTCAAAACAGAAATGTCATTGCTGTCTGAATAAGTTATGGAAAAGTCATCAAACTACAGTGAAAGTATTGGCCTTGTGTTTCTCTGACACTTAAAGGGAGACTACTCTTTCACAAACGTTCTCTTCCAGACGTCCACGAACGCGATCAGGAGTAGGGTTAGTGTGGGTAGTTTCTTCTGTAACTGTTTTAAATTAAAGGTTTCTAATTGATGCTGAATAAATAGTCATTAACATTGGTTCCATAGAGTATGTTTTATTTTAGAGGCAGAAGCATTAATGTCGTTTATAAAAGTGCTTTGATTCAGATTTGGTCCAGGCAAGTGTTTTTCAGCACAGACGCCACTAGAGGTCAGTAAATGATCAAGAACAGCTTTCACCTCAGCTCCTGCATATTTGGGATGAACTGACAAAACAGGAATAAATAATAATAGTTCAATAATCAATAATATAATCGGCACGGTGGCTGAGTGGATAGCACTCTCGCCTCTCAGCAAGAAGGTCCTGGGTTCGAATCCCGGTCGGACCAGGGCCTTTCTGAGTGGAGTTTGCATGTTCTCCCCGTGTCTGCGTAGGTTTCCTCTGGGTACTCCGGTTTCCCCTACCACTAAAAATATGTCCAATAGTTCTGGCATGTGCCTCCTGTACTGGCCCCCCTCCCATCTCTGTGTGGAGTGAGAGACAAATGCCCAAAATTAACAATTGTAAACCGCTTTGAGACTCAGATCTGCAGTGAAAAGGCGGTATATAAATAAAAACTTACTTACTACTTACTTACTATAATCATACAAAAGCTGGATGGGCCAAAAGTATAACAGTGATTTCATTTTATTATTTTATTATTTATGGTTTGGATGTTATTTCCTCGTAAGTTTGGATTCATAACTGAGCCAAATATCAAAAAGATGTAATTGAAGATTCATAGTTAAATATTTAGAAATAACTCATTTCCATAACTCAACATGTTGTTAGTTAACATTTTAGAACAAATCCAATCATATGGTTGTTTTTCTGAGACTACAAGCTTTAAAATGAAGTATAACATGCCATAGTATTATAATACCATCAGTGCTGCAAGTTTTGGTAAAAGATCATTTCAGTTCAGAATGAGTTTGAATCTCACCGAGAACAGATGTTTCACACGTTTCATGGATCAATCTTTTGTGTCTTTCACGTGAAAACCTTTGGCTGAAGTTGTTTGTGGGTTAAATGGTGGTGTTGTTGTGTTGTTGTTGTGTCCAGGTGTGAAGGAGCTGGTGCAGGTGGAGGCGCGCAGCTACATGAAGCACCTGGTGGAACAGGCCAACCTCAACTTCATCGTGACGGGAAAAGTGAAGGAGACCGGGCAGATCGTGACCGCCATGAAAGTGGTGACTCTGCACAACCCCAAACTCACCGTGGAGGTGTGTGCGCCTCAGAAAGGAACATCATGAACATATGCTCCCTATGATCAGGGTTCCTACAGGGACAAAAAGAGTCTTATCGTACATTTACTTTGGGGTCTTGGGCAGGATGTAACTTCTCTGTACTGCTTTCTGCAAAAAACTTTCATTTTCCAACCACTGCATTTTAATTCAATGGTAGCCTAAAGAACACCTGGTCCTGGTCCTGGTCCTGGTCCTGGTCCTGGTCCTGGTCCTGTCCTGGTCTGACCTAGAACCCAAAACAGACATATACCACTAGCAACAATCCAAGCAGATGCAAAAATCTGTTTAGGGATTTTCACAAACGAACCATGTTAGGTGGCCCAGATCCTGTTGTGTGACTGTGACTGTTGTGTGACTGTTGTGTGACGGTTGTGTGACTGTGACTGTTGTGTGACGGTTGTGTGACTGTCACTGTTGTGTGACTGTGACTGTTGTGTGACTGTGACTGTTGTGTGACGGTTGTGTGACTGTGACTGTTGTGTGACGGTTGTGTGACTGTCACTGTTGTGTGACTGTGACTGTTGTGTGACTGTGACTGTTGTGTGACGGTTGTGTGACGGTTGTGTGACTGTGACTGTTGTGTGACTGTGACGGTTGTGTGACTGTGACTGTTGTGTGACTGTTGTGTGACTGTGACTGTTGTGTGACTGTTGTGTGACTGTGACTGTTGTGTGACGGTTGTGTGACGGTTGTGTGACTGTGACTGTTGTGTGACTGTTGTGTGACGGTTGTGTGACTGTTGTGTGACTGTGACTGTTGTGTGACTGTTGTGTGACGGTTGTGTGACTGTGACTGTTGTGTGACTGTTGTGTGACTGTGACTGTTGTGTGACGGTTGTGTGACTGTTGTGTGACTGTGACTGTTGTGTGATGGTTGTGTGACTGTTGTGTGACTGTGACTGTTGTGTGACTGTTGTGTGACGGTTGTGTGACTGTGACTGTTGTGTGACTGTTGTATGACTGTTGTGTGACTGTTGTGTGACTGTGACTGTTGTGTGACTGTTGTGTGACTGTGACTGTTGTGTGACGGTTGTGTGACTGTGACTGTTGTGTGACTGTTGTGTGACTGTGACTGTTGTGTGACGGTTGTGTGACTGTGACTGTTGTGTGACTGTGACTGTTGTATGACTGTTGTGTGACTGTGACAGTTGTGTGACTGTGACTGTTGTGTGTGCAGGTGTCAGGTGTGGCTAAAGTGAGTGAGGACATGTTGGCCACAGTGCAGTTCACAAACCCCTTCAGCTTCAACCTGGAGGAGATCTACCTGCGCATGGAGGGCCCCGGGGCCATGCTGCCGCGCTTCAGATTCTACAGGTGAGAAATCGCAATTCTAGTGGCCACAATCTTTTACACTATCCCAGCAAAAACAGCAAAATGTCTTGTTGTATATGATATAAATGTGTCTCTAAAAAAGGACCCTGCACATGTCATAAACAGGCCAAGTATGTCTCTGAGTGTATTTTTATTATTTTATATATGCTAATGAGATGCTAGTCCAGTTTATCTCTTTAACACAGTGGGGTTAAAACTTGCTTGTAGTGATTGGACATTATCCTTTTTGCTTCAGAACAGATCTCACAAATCAAATTCACTCTGAAAGATAGAAGTTATGTCTGTGTAGGAGCCATTCTTCTCAGTTTTCTAAAGTCATCCTTAATTGAGCAATGTACATGTTTTAAACCCGATATAAAGCAAAGTAACAACATGTGAATCATAAGAAGCAGTGTCAGAATCACCAAGAACCAGAACGCACAATGGTTTTATGAATTGCTATTTATTATTATTATTATATTATTATTATTACTGCCTATTGTCTAAGACGGTACAGACACAGACAACAGACAGATATGGTGGATACTGAATGACACTTTGAATATATACTGTCAAATCTGCATCACCTGTGGTTAGAGCTGTCCTCTATTGAAGAAATTCAAGATTCAGATTTTAATAATTTATTTGTATTGTCACAAAAACAACGAAGTTACATTTAGAGCTTCACGGTGATGAGTGTAGAAAGTGCAGAAGTTGGCAGGATGTGATCAGCGCAGGGCAGAGGTGGATTAGCAGAACTGCTGCGACTTTTATACGACATACAAGGCAGAGTTTTTACAGTCCTAATAAAAATCTGTGTAATAATTATGACAAAACATGAATAACACACATAGAATATACCATAATACTGTAAAACTATATTTATACTTAAAATAGACATGCAATGACTCAAATGTATTCATTCAAGATCATGTGTTAAATTCTAAATCCTTCCTGAGCTTCCTGAAAGGGCTGGAGAGGCAAGGCAAGTTTATTTATATAGCACAATTCATACACAAGGCAATTCAAAGTGCTGAACAAAACAAGAAAGCATTAAAATCATAAATAATCACAGAACATTAAAACGAAAGATAAAAATATAAAATCCCTCAGTTGTAGCACAGTTAAACAGAACCGTCTTTAACCTGGTTTTAAACATTGTCAGAGAGGAGGCCTGTCTCACATCTTCAGGAAGATTGTTCCAGATTTTAGTAGCATGAATCTGAAAAGCAGCCTCCCCATGTTTAGTTCTGACTCTGGGCACTAACAGGAGTCCAGTCCCTGTGCTCCTCAGAGTCCCAGCAGGAGTCCAGTCCCTGTGCTCCTCAGAGTCCCAGCAGGAGTCCAGTCCCTGTGCTCCTCAGAGTCCCAGCAGGAGTCCAGTCCCTGTGCTCCTCAGAGTCCCAGCAGGAGGCCAGTCCCTGTGCTCCTCAGAGTCCCAGCAGGAGTCCAGTCCCTGTGCTCCTCAGAGTCCCAGCAGGAGGCCAGTCCCTGTGCTCCTCAGAGTCCACAGAGTCCCAGCAGGAGTCCAGTCCCTGTGCTCCTCAGAGTCCCAGCAGGAGTCCCAAGTCAGTCCCTGTGCTCCTCAGAGTCCCAGCAGGAGGCCAGTCCCTGTGCTCCTCAGAGTCCCAGCAGGAGTCCAGTCCCTGTGCTCCTCAGAGTCCGGGCTGGTTCATATGGGACTAACATGTCACTAATATATTTTGGTGCGAGGCCATGGAGAGACTTGTAACAAGCAGAGCTGTTTTAAAGTCTATTCTCTGAGCTGCTGTTAGTTCCCGAGCCACAGGTTGGAGATGATTTACATATGATTTACATATGATTTACATTGCTGCTAAACATGATTATTTTTCTTGTCTTTCATCTGTGAAATGGTTGAGCTTCTGTCTTTGTGCCCTGCTCAGTCTGCTGGCTCCGAACTCGTCCGTGGTCTGGACAGAGAAGTTCAATCCGCAGAGAGCCGGTTCCACCAGGATCATCGCAAGTCTGGACTGCCCCGCGCTCAGGCAGGTCTACGGAGAGGCGTCCATCACCGTGTTACCATAGAAACGTCCGTCTCGCTAGCAAAAGGCCTTTATAAGCAGTGATGGAAACGAGAGAACACATCGCCATGGTATCTTACACGTCCGGTTCGAGCAGCCATCTTGTGATTTCTGTAGGTGCACGTGTTTTCATGGTCATTTTTTAATTCCCCTTTTTCAATACATATTTGTTATGCATGTTCTTGAAGTTTAGGTTGGTGAATTGTATAGTAAGCGGCGGGAATAATTAATAAAAGCTGTGGTTGTGTCCATAGTTTAATTAGGGAGAAAATACATATCTGTGTAGTGTTTTAGCTTGAATTTACATGATAATAATTCAGATCAAAAATGTCCTGTCAGAGACCATTAGAAATCTCCCCGTTACAGAACTTTTCCCAATTAAACTCTCTGACCCGGTTTTCATAATGCTTTTATTAGAGATTTTTCCTCTTCCTCACATACACAAGATGGCCGCCACAACTGCACAGCAACAGAACCCATGCTTTCTCTGACACTGTTTAGCCCTATCTGTGATTATAGAAAATACTTACATTTGCCAAAGGCTTTTCCTAGTTTGTGACTTCCTGTTTCTCACTTGGCGATAAAAGGATTCTGATTCATTAATTACATGTGTTAAGTAAAATACACAGAGAAAGACATTGTATTGATAAACTGTTATGAAGAAAACAAGAAGCATTACTTTTTAGGTTTTTTTATTTGACAACGTAACAATAGGATGTAAGGCTTGTATCTCCTGCATCGAATCATAAAACACAATAAATCTCTGACGACATTCAGTTTGTCTTCATTGAGTTGAGGAAATGCAGTGTAAATACTAAAGATAAAGTGCAAATACCGGACAAAACAGTCTGTAAACAAGGCAGTGTTTCCTTCATTGTTTCCGCCCTGGGGCAGACTGGTGTTTAATGGCTGTCATTCTGTGCCAAAACCAAAACATAATCGCTTCAACATAAATATAGATTGTATAAAAGCACAACACAACAAAGTGCAGATCACGGCGGGAGCAGCTTTTCGCATGTGTCAGAATCCTCGGAGAATGATCCGTGTGTCGCAGACTGAGTTTGGGTTCGACGGATTCAACCGTCTGAACGTCATGGATCGTGTTTAAAGCAGAATACGGGTTTACTGAAAATCTGGACAATATTCACCGTTGCTCTGAAGAAGATGACATGTCTGGGATCGCGTCTTTCATTTAGACAGAAGACATGTTTTATTGTCGATGGTAGAGACAGCACGAACAACAGATACAACAGAATGCAAGTGTATTATACAGAGCGTTGGCATGGAGACCTCCAATCAGCAGCTGCCACAGTGCCATGTAGCTTGGCCTTCAGATAGACACAACAAGGGAAAAGTACAGGCTTCTGCACATTGATAGAATGATGAGTTTAACTTTAACAAAAGTTGCTTCAAAGTGTTATGAAATCTCACAGCTCCCAAACCGGTCTGATCAACTCTGGTCACAGTCGACATTTGTGTTGATACAAAAATTACAAACTCAATTCTAGGAAATAGACCTGATACCATTTTCTACAGGAATTTTGATACGAACGATGGTGATAATCTAAAACGCACATGTTTAAATATAGATAACAATAAAATACGTTTTATCCTGGTTCTGGGATCTAAACTGCCAGAATCTCATAGTTTGTCCTGTTTGGGATATCTTTCAGTATTGATACTTGCTGAAATGAGTATCAATACTTGTTTGAATATTCATCTATGGTGGATACTTTTGACAACCGTACTCTTTCTCTTAGTTGGCTCAAACTTTGGAATAGCAAATGTAAATAAACAGTCTACCCCTGTGCCCGGTGTTTAGACTCTGAAGTTTGCCGTTTTTAGCGAGTGCTTTAAACATACTCATTATGGGCAGGGAGGCAGAAGCTTTTAGAACACAGAATTGAATTAGGTTTTTCTCTGAAGTTGGTGCCATTGTTTAAATGAACCTTCACATTCCCTGAGCGATCATTTGAAGGTGAGGAGGTAGTCGGGGTAGGCCTGGTTGTCATGAAACACTACGAACATGTTTGGGCGGTCGAGGTTGTCCACGGCACTGTCGAAGCGTTCGTGTGGGTTTTTCACGTTTCGCGGTGGTGGAACTATCATGTCTTTGTTTCCCAGCGTGTAGAGCCCAGTGAGAACACGTGATGAAAACATGAGCTGCGTCCCATTATCATCAGGTTTGGAGTAAGTAGGATGTGCAGAGTAGTTGGCGTTAAGGGCGAAGTAGGTGCCTTTACCGAAACTAGTGGCTGTGGAGAGAACAACAGCTTTAGACTTTTAACAGATGTGTTGTAAAAACTTCTCTTGTCGTTGTCAATATCTTTAGGGAGCGGTTGATTTGCCAACAAACTGAAAGAATGCTAATGTGCTAGCTCTAGTTAGCTCACTGTGGCACCAGACTGGATTCTGGATGATAATAATTGACACATGATGCCCATTACTGATTAACTGGGTAGGGTAATGTGTTAGCTTTAGCCTGTTGTATCAATTGATGCTTTATACCATATATAAAATCATCTAATTTTAGCAATGAATTTATGTGGGGTTCTTTCCTGAACAATAAACTTTAAGAAGAGAGATCTAAAAAGCCTCTGAGTCACAGCTGTTCAGAAACTCACCATTTTGTCCTGAAAAGCGTCTGTTGAAGCCCGTGTTCATGATGGAAGTGGCGTTCTCTTGAGTCGTCCCGTGATACAGCAGCTTCTCGTTGGCTCCTTCCGTCTGTTTGTTTTTATCCATGATGTGTTTTAACTGCGCCTCATAACTCCTGCGCAGGTGAATGTTCTGCACGCGCTCAATCTGACAAAATAAAAGCATTCATTATTATTATTTCCTTTAGAATCCATGTGTTCAGGAGACAGAGGTGAGCTCTATCACCGGTCCACATGGATGTTCAGTGTTGTCTGACAGAATAGTGATAAAGAGGGGACCAGTGTTCTTCCTCGTACTTCTTCGTAGAACCTAATTTCCAGGGATCACTACAGACAAAGCAAATGACCCTCTGCTGCACTGTCCCCTCACAGTCCACGCTTGGATCATTTAAACCATGTTGACCAAAATGACGCTGAGTTAGGGTCTAGTTTTGAGATGTCATCATTTAATCACTGTGGCGGGTCAATTTGACCCAAGGCACAAGGGGTTCCATCTTGACTATCACCGTTCACTCACACTCACCGTTCAAAGGATAATAATCTTTAAATTGCATGTTCTTAAATGTTACGATGAAGAACTTTGTTAAAGAAAGGTCAAATTGATTTCTTGTCCTACCTTAAGGATAGCTTTGCTGCACGTCGCCTCGAAGTCTAGCTTCACCTCCTCATACTCTTCACTTGACGGCAACAACGGAACCACTTTCAGAATTTCATCAGGAGCCATGTTGTCCCAGTAAAGAGGAAAGTTGAAGTCTAGAAGCATCAAAACATAGGTTTAGCATCAGGACAATTCCACTCACGTGTCTTTATCAGTTCTTTATGTGATCATAGAGTAGAAGGTGCAGCAAGCTATGTCTCAGTATCACTCGCTTCATCTAAAGTAGCTTCAAAAACACATTATAAAAATCAATATAAATAAGGGCTGCTTGGTCAGAGAAAAATGATAATCACAAGCGCTCATGTATGGGTCGTTTATGCTATTTTTATTATCCTAGGGTGTACTAATAATAATAATAACATATTACAAAAAGGTAGTAGACTAAATAGAGAAAGAGTGAAGACAACAAACTAAGAGCCGTTTATTAAAACACATACGCATGAAATGCATAAATGTCTCACTTTAATCTCTGGCATCTGTTAGAATGTCTTCACTTAAACCTTTTTGGTGTCAGATTTCAATAAAAATCACAAATGCCTGTACTATACAACTCTCAGATTATCAAAAACAAAATAACCACTTATATACTGTATGCTGTAGGCTTAAAACTCTTGAAAGCCATGTTTGCCCCATCGTGTCCCTGAGTCTTACCTGGCAGATGCTTCAGTCGTTTCAATGCTACGTTCTCTGTTGACAACTTGTCGGTGGCTTCCATTTTCTGTAGATTAACCACCCACTCTATTCCCTGCTCGTCCAAATATTTCCCTGTCTCCGTTATTCTCTTCTCCAGTTGATAATTTGCCTCTTTGGGCAGTTTCTCCCACTTTCCATTGAGTCTTTGAAAGCACCACGTGACCTTCCTGTATATTTCTTCCTCTTCACGACTCCTCTTTTCTCTGGTCAGGGTCGCATACATAAAACTTTGAACCAAATCCATCAGCTGGTTCACTTTGACTGTTTGCCCGGTCACAACCCAGTCCCCTTCGCTGTATTGAACTTGTAAACCTGAAGACTCCATTTCTTTCTTCAGCGTTGACAAATCACGAGGCATTAGCACGTTCAGTTGGTCTTTTTTGAATGTTTTGGAGGAGTATTGTGTCTGGTAGAGGTCCTTCATTTTGGTCTTAGCTTCGGCAATGCTGTCCTTAGACATGCCGGTGATTTTGAAGACAGATTTCTCGATGGGCGAGCTTGGACTTGGTGCAGCAGCGTCCATAAAGGCTACAGGGGGAAGAGCAGGAGCAGGAGATAGAGGCGGTGGTGGAGCAGGAGATAGAGGCGGTGGTGAAGCAGGAGATAGAGGCGGTGGTGGAGCAGGAGATAGAGGCGGTGGTGGAGCAGGAGATAGAGGCGGTGGTGGAGCAGGAGATAGAGGCGGTGGTGGAGCAGGAGATAGAGGCGGTGGTGAAGCTGTAAAAATAAACATGTTTTTTATTCAAGTTAATGGGATGCTTTTAAAACCTTCCCTAACTTTTAACCCACTTGTTACCCTTATGTTATAGAATCCACCAAACTAGTCCCAGGCTCTAATACTAGTTTTGGTTCTCTCACTATAGTTTTCACATGTACACATAATTTCCACCCTCATCATCCTATCACATCTTTATATCAGCTTTTTCAGACAGAAAAGTGATAAAGAGAAGACCACCCTCACCCAGCCAGCAGCTGAGAGCTGATTGGCTGGGTAAGGGCTGAGAGCAGCCAATCAGCTCTCAGCCCTTGTTTCCTGTTTCAATGTCCTTCTTCCCCGTGAAACTGCAGCAGGAGTATTATACAAACCTCTGATGGGTGCGTTTGAAACCATGCGAGTCGCTCGCTCTTTGAAAGCCGAGAAGACGTCAATTTTGTCGAGAACCAATCGGACTTGGACCAGACTGAACAGAGGGATGGACGTTACCTCGTTGAGTCCACTCAGCATCGCGGCGGCCACGGCAGCAGCAGGCAGACCTCCGCCTCCTGAAACAATTATGTAATTGTTATGGGATCATGAATATTACGCAGGTCATTATCGGGAAATAAATACAGACGCTCCTTATTTTCCGCTAATTATACGGCATTGTACTAACAGAACACACAAAATAAACTTCAGTCCACCTTTAGGAATGTCGAAAGGTTTATTTAATGACTTTCCCGTGGCTAAAAAAATAATAACAATTGTAAACCGCTTTGTGACTCTGGTCTGTGAAACGCGGTATATAAATAAAGATTACTTACTTACTTACTTATACGAGTAACAGTTAGGCTAGCAACAGCTAGGCTAGTAACAGTTAGGCTAGTAACAGCTAGGCTAGCAACAGTTAGGCTAGCAACAGTTAGGCTAGCAACAGTTAGGCTAGCAACAGTTAGGCTAGTAACAGCTAGGCTAGCAACAGTTAGGCTAGCAACAGTTAGGCTAGTAAGTTAGGCTAGTAACAGTTAGGCTAGTAACAGTTAGGCTAGTAACAGTTAGGCTAGCAACAGTTAGGCTAGTAACAGTTAGGCTAGCAACAGTTAGGCTAGCAACAGTTAGGCTAGTAACAGTTAGGCTAGTGACAGTTAGGCTAGTAACAGTTAGGCTAGTAACAGTTAGGCTAGCAACAGTTAGGCTAGTAACAGTTAGGCTAGCAACAGTTAGGCTAGTAACAGTTAGGCTAGCAACAGTTAGGCTAGTAACAGTTAGGCTAGCAACAGTTAGGCTAGTAACAGTTAGGCTAGCAACAGTTAGGCTAGTAACAGTTAGGCTAGTAACAGTTAGGCTAGTAACAGCTAGGCTAGTAACAGTTAGGCTAGCAACAGTTAGGCTAGTAACAGTTAGGCTAGTAACAGTTGGGCTAGTAACAGTTAGGCTAGTAACTGAGACCCTGCGACCTCATACGAGGACATTACATTTTTGCCTCTTGGCACAATGATACTCAATTTTTTACATCCTTGACCTGATGGCCACATTTAGGGACACTGCCCGCGCCATCTTGTGGTGATATGATAGAATTACACTTAAGGCAGTAGGAAAAAATGGTGGGAATATCAACAAAAGACTTCTACAAGAGTTCACAGAAGAAAAATGCCCCAGGTAAAAATTCTATCAACATTTTATGAATGAAATCAATTTATTTATGCACAATAATGTCTCTAGCTTCATATGGAGTTTGAAATTTGACAAATTTTGATTGTAGTAGCAGGCTAGGATGTCAGTAAAAGTGAAGCACTCGTTTGAGGACGCTAGGACTATGTACCGCTATCTGTTTAGCTAACCGTGTGGAAGATTTAGATGAAGTTACGGTTGTAATTAGTTATTTTGAATCACACATTTTCTTAGTTATGTGGTTTACAGTTGTAAATAGTATATTTAAGTACTAAGTGGTATATGCTAAGTATTGTTTAGTGTTGCTAAATGCTTAATCATAAACAATATAGCTAGGCTATAGCTAGCACATGATAGCCAAGCTATGATGTGTCACTGATATACTGTAGATTTTGATGTTGGTTTTTAAAATTATCATTACAGGCACACTTTCATTGTCAAGAGCAGAACAATTGCTGTTGGCAATTGCAGACAACTCTGAGATGGAGGATTTCTCAGATGGGGATGATTGTATCATCATCTCATACCTGTCAGTCATCTTCTGGTGTTTCCCGCGGGGAGAGGCGGCGAGCTGAGGTGGCCCCCCATCATTGCCCCCCATCTCAGCTCCACGTGTTGGAGTTCTCCCCGGTGAATGAGAGGGTCGCGTCCCTCCGCCTCCGGGTGGGGGACAAGTCTCTCACTGTTGTGACGGCCTACGGGCCTAACGGTAGTGTAGAGTACCCGGCCTTCTTGGAGTCCTTGGGAGGGGTACTGGACGGTGCACCGCCCGGGGACTCCGTTATTCTCCTGGGGGACTTCAACGCCCATGTGGGAAACGCCAGTGACACTTGGAGAGGGGTGATCGGGAAGAACGGCCCTGATCTGAACCCGAGCGGTGTTCAGTTGTTGGACTTCTGTGCCAGTCACAGTTTGTCCATCACGAACACCATGTTCGAGCACAAGGGTGTCCACCAGTGCACGTGGCACCAGGACACCCTAGGCCGGAGGTCGATGATCGACTTTGTTGTCGTATCATCTGACCTTCGACCACGTGTCTCGGACACTCGGGTAAAGAGAGGGGCGGAGCTGTCAACCGATCATCACCGGGTCGTGAGTTGGATCCGCTGGCAGGGGAAGAAGCCGGTCAGACCTGGCAGACCCAAGCGTGTAGTGAGGGTCTGCTGGGAACGTCTTGCTGAGCCCCCTGTCAGACGGACTTTCAACTCACACCTCCGGGAGAGCTTCTCCCAGGTCCCGGCGGAGGAGGGGGACATCGAGTCCGAGTGGACCATGTTCTCTTCCTCTATCGCCAATAAAGCGGCTCGTAGCTGTGGTCGCAAGGTCTCTGGTGCTGGTCCCCGAACCCGGTGGTGGACACCGGCAGTAAGGGATGCCGTCAGGCTGAAGGAGTCCTATCGAGCAATGATGGTTCGGGGGACTCCTGAGGAAGCTGTCCAGTACCGTCAGGCCAAGCGTGCTGCGGCCCGGGCTGTTGCAGAGGCAAAAACCCGGGACTGGGAGGAGTTCGGAGAGTCCATGGAGCATGACTATCGGTCGGCCTCAAAAAGGTTCTGGCAAACCCTCCGGCGCCTCAGGAGGGGGAAGCAGTTCTTTGCCAACACCGTGTATGGTGCGGGTGGAGAGCTGCTGACCTCGACTGGGGATATTGTAACCCTAACCCTAACCCCGAGATGGTAGCCTTGAAAAACCCCATGCGTTGCAGAGCACAAGACTGCATTGGAAAATCCTGTGTCCGATGCATGACATGCAATGTGTACCTGTGCTTGCAAAGTGAACGCAACTGCTTTGCAGCATTTCACACTTGCCAATAGGGCTCTTCCAAACAGGCAGACAGATTGATTTCTAGAAAAAGAGAGGGAGCTAGTTTGAAAAAAGCCCCGGTTCATAAGCTGTTCAGCAGAATTTTACTGTTTTAGGACTGTTAATAATATTTGCCATTATTTGTTCTAGTATTGTATTTATCAATTCAATTCAGCCATATTGAAGGCTTGAAATAGACAGTTTACACAGTATTTTGCAGTTTTATTTATGTATGTTTTTGTCATGTGGATGAATGAAGAAAAAGGGAACCCAAATTGCAGGACTGAAAATCCAAGTAATTTAAGAAAATAAATCCAAGGTAATGTAAAAACAGAACTGAAGACAGGACAAACGTTGTGGAGACAATGGACGGACAACAAGTGAGGAAGGGCACAGGGTATATATACACACAGGGACACACAGGGACACACAGGGACACACAGGGACACACAGGGACACACAGGGACACACAGGGACACACAGAGACACACACAGAGACACACACAGAGACACACAGGGACACACAGAGACACACAGAGACACACAGGGACACACAGGGACACACAGGGACACACAGGGACACACAGGGACACACAGGGACACACAGAGACACACAGAGACACACAGGGACACACAGAGACACACAGGGACACACAGAGACACACAGGGACACACAGAGACACACAGAGACACACAGGGACACACAGGGACACACAGGGACACACAGGGACACACAGGGACACACAGACACACACAGAGACACACAGGGACACACAGGGACACACAGGGACACACAGGGACACACAGGGACACACAGGTGAATCACATTAGGGCGGGGCAACAATCAACAGGACAGGCAGGATTCAAACTCAAACTACATAATATAATATATAGCTAAATAAAACCAGGTCAAAATGTCCACACCATGACATTTTTAGGCTTTGAAGATAGAGCTGTTTGGATTTTATGTCTAACTTTGATGTTTACATTTTTCAAATAAACTGTTATATACATTTTTAGACCAATGGAGTCTATTTTTATTGTATAGTAAGGTCGACCCACTGTACTCATATGAGGACATTGATTTTTGAGAGAAGTACTAATTGGATCAAGCTGAAATTTTGAATTTCAACTAATTAGGACCTTCCGGCCTCAAAGAGCATACATTTTTTCTTTAGGTTATGAGAGACCCACTGTCCTCATACGAGGACATGTTTTTTCTCAAAAACTACTTCCTGTACAAAATCACAATTTAGGTATTATACTTATTGGGTCCTACTTATCCTAAATAGCAAAAAAATATATAAAATGCACACCAGACAAATGCTCGGGTCTCAGGAGGTTAATGACTTTCCCGTGGCTAAAAAAATAATAACAATTGTAAACCGCTTTGTGACTCTGGTCTGTGAAAGGCGGTATATAAATAAAGATTACTTACTTACTTACTTATACAAGTAACAGTTAGGCTAGCAACAGCTAGGCTAGCAACAGCTAGGCTAGTAACAGTTAGGCTAGTAACAGCTAGGCTAGCAACAGTTAGGCTAGCAACAGTTAGGCTAGCAACAGTTAGGTTAGTAACAGTTAGGCTAGTAACAGTTAGGCTAGTAACAGTTAGGCTAGTAAGTTAGGCTAGTAACAGTTAGGCTAGTAACAGTTAGGCTAGTAACAGTTAGGCTAGTAACAGTTAGGCCAGCAACAGTTAGGCTAGTAAGTTAGGCTAGTAACAGTTAGGCTAGTAACAGTTAGGCTAGTAACAGTTAGGCTAGCAACAGCTAGGCTAGTAACAGTTAGGCTAGTAACAGTTAGGCTAGTAACAGTTAGGCTAGTAACAGTTAGGCTAGTAACAGTTAGGCTAGTAACAGTTAGGTTAGTAACAGTTAGGCTAGTAACAGTTAGGCTAGTAACAGTTAGGCTAGTAACAGTTAGGCTAGTAACAGTTAGGCTAGTAACAGTTAGGCTAGTAACAGTTAGGCTAGTAACAGTTAGGCTAGTAACAGTTAGGCTAGTAACAGTTAGGCTAGTAACAGGTAGGCTAGTAACAGTTAGGCTAGTAACAGTTAGGCTAGTAACAGTTAGGCTAGTAACAGTAAGG